TACCACAAAACAATAATTTTCCTTGCATGATAACATAAACCAATTAGATAGTTCAGTGGTGACTATGGAGCTAATTAAGAGATCACCAAATTATTTTGGATCTGTTACTTTTTGATTAGTCTCAGATAATGCTAGGAAAAATCCCAGTTCTTGAGAAGTTGTCTGAACAGTGACTTTTACACAGAATCTACACTAAGAAATAGAATTTAACAACTCAGTATATATTTGCATGTCCATTGTCACACATACGCAAATGAAGCAAAAATTTCAGAAAATCATGCTTGCCTTTAGCATATGATAGCCTTCTGACATCATCTGTTTGATACTGCTTGTTTCATTAAAAAAATTGATGGTGTTGACCCACTAAATTGATTTCACTATCTACATTTTTAGCCTGTGTAGTAAAGATAGAGTGGGATACTAGTTCATTTTGAAAGAGAAAATTATTTTTCAAGCCCTAGAGGTCAGGAAAGTTTACCTGAGACTTTGCTTTGTTATATTACTTTTACTTCAGGAACCTCTTTATTATGTCCAAGGTAAACATTTCCTATTGCATTTTTGTAACAAAATACCCTAAAGTAAGTTTCTTAAGTTCTTATAAAGACAGTCTCTTGGCAAATGTCATTTCTGAACTCTTTTATAGGTAGAGAGATTTCTATTCCAGCATACTTTGAGAATTTCTCAAGTATTTTTTGTTAGCATGCTGTAATTCTTCCTTCACTCCCTCTTTTCCTCCTCTCTCTCTCTTTTTTTTTTTTTTTTTTTTTCTGCCTTTTTTTTTTTTTTTTTTTTTTTTTTTTTTTTTTTTTTTTTTTTTTTTTTTTTTTTTTTTTTTTTTTTTTTTTTTTTTTTTTTTTTTTTTTTTTTTTTGCAACAAGGTCTGCCTCTTTCACCCATGCTGGAGTGCAGTGGTGCTATCTCAGCTTACTGCAGCCTCCACTTCCCAGGCTCAAGAAATCCTTATGCCTCAGCCTCCTAAGTAATTGGGACTACAGGCATGTGCTACCATGCCCAGCTAATTGTCGTATTTTTTGTAGAGACGGGGTTTTGCCATGTTGCCCAGGCTGGTATCAAACTTGTGAGCCGAAGTGATTTGCCTCCCAAATACTAGGGAGCTGAATACCCAGGCTGGTATCAAACTTGTGAGCTCAAGTGATTTGCCTCCTAAAGTACTTGGCCTCCCAAAGTACTAGGATTACAGGTGTGATCCACTACTCCTGGCCTGTGCTGTAGTTCTTTCTTACGTACTTTTCTCTTCTCTCTGTGGACTAAGAAGGTCTGGCGGAGTTTGCACAGTTAGTCTCTTAGGGACTGACCAACTGACCTTGTCTTGTACATTTACCTATTTTATTCAGTGTGCAGAACACCTCAGTCATGGTTATAATATATGTAAATAATCACCTCTGTAGATCAGACTCCATAGAGCAACAAGAAATTCTAATTGACACACTCAGTTTTAGTCACTTAGGTTGTGCAGGAAAATGAATAACCTAGAGTGAATAGCATCAATTAATTGTGGTGGGTAAGGCGGGAAGGGATTTAGTGGGAGATTTTATTCTGACTCACATTAGTAGGTTAATATTATCCTGGTTTTCATGTAAATATACTCTAAGCCAGGTGGGAATGTTGTGATTTATAACTAGAAAGCTAAATTGTAAGTAGAAAGCCCTAGGTAATAACTCTTAGAGGGAAAAAAGATAAAAGTACTGCTTATTTTGAGGAAAAGATTATTTCTAATTATAAACACATGTATTGAAATCTTCATGACAGAGATACTTAATTTACATATGGACTTACTACAATTTGAGGAAACCAAAATCATGCCCTTTACAGCAAATATTATAAATGGAGGAAAAAATACCATTCCCTTCTAAAATTGTTTTGTAAATTTAGATGAGTTATTCCAGATGAATTAGCCCCTCTTAGCCATTTTGCAACCTGCCAGAGATAATACCAAATGTTTGTTAAAAAACTACAAAATAGAAATATAAATTTATTGAGTATTGCATTTTTATGATTTAGGTATGAGAAATTAAACAGAATAAGACTATACATGCTTTGGATGAGACTGTCTCCTATAGGAAATACTTCTTAACTAGGACAATTTTATTTCAGTCATAAAAATGAATCCGCTTAAAACATTATTAATCATCTATGATGTGTAAGACTCTAGATGTAGTCAGAGACAGAAGAGATGAGTGTATCCCTAAAAAATTCCTGTCATAGGTGAATAAGAGGTGTACTTGTAAAGATAATTAACACTCAGCAGTGTAGGGTAAGCAACAAATGAATGATGCAGAGGAGAAATGCTAAAGAAGTCCAAAGAGAGAGACCATTGTGAGTTAGGTATTTATTATTTATGCCCTACTTTATTTTGGATAAAGGATGAGTCTTGACTGTAGTGGATTAGGGAGAAAGTAAAGAGAGTTTAATTTTTTAAAAATGAAAAAGATAGGGCAGGCATGGTGGCTCATGCCTGTAATCCCAACACTTTGGGAAGCCAAGGCAGGAGGATTGCTTTAAGACAGAAGTTCAAGACCAGCCTGGGCAACATGGCTAAACCTCATCTCTACATGGAGAAAAAAAAAAAAAAAGCCAGGCATGGTGGTACACGCCTGTAGTTCCAGCTACTTGGGAGACTGGGTGGGAGGATCACTTAAGCCCAGGAGGTAGAGGCTGCAGTGAGCCAGGGTAGATACTGGAGCTCTCTGAATATTAGGCTAAGCTCTAAAATTTAAGTTGATAGGTTGGATGAATTGCTCAGGATTTTTTTTTTTTGCAGGTATATAATAAGGTGAAATAGAATTTTATAAAGATTAATCAGTGGTAGTGGGTATGAGAGTATGGACCTGGGAAAGATTGGATATGAATAAAAATTAGGGAGATAGTATAGGAATAAGGGGAAAATGACCTGATATGTGGATGTGGCAGTAGGAATACAATTTTTTTTTTTCATTTTACATTTATATGGAATTTTTTTTTTTCTTTTTGAGACAGGGTCTCCCTTTGTTGCCCAGGCTGGAGTACAGTGGCATCATAGCTCACTCCAGCCTCGAATTCCTGGGCTCAAGCGATTCTCCTGCCTCAGCCTCCTGAGTAGCTGGGACTACAGGCATGTTGGCACCATACCTGGCTAATTTAAAATTTTTTATTTTTGTAGAGATGGGGTCTTTCCAGGTTGTCCAGGCTAATTTTGAACTTTGGCTTCAAGTGATCCTCCTGCCTTGTCCTCTCAATGTGGCTGGGCATGAGCCACCATGCCTGGCCCTGGAATAAAAACTGGTGTAGAAGACAATTCAAAAGAATAACTGATAGAGCTTAGTAACTGAAGAATATGGGAATGAGAATGAGGGAGAGAATAAACTGTGACTCCATGTGTTAAAACTTAAAATGTAGACAATAAACATCAGTTTTTGTGCAAAGGTAACGAAAGTTATCGCCAGAGTATCTGTACAAGTACCTTGGTCTCAAACTGCATTTGAGTGTCTAATTTAAATAAAGTTTCTCCACAAGAATAGATTTTATTTTCCCCATTATGCTTTTTTGCTTACTTAGCTGTTTTGGTTCTGGGATTTATATATGAATCAGAAAGTTTATGTTAGGTATACAGCAACATGACTAATTGGTATTCTGTTATATTGCTGAGACAAATCTTGAAACACTGGCTTATGAGAGAGGCCTGCATCTAAATAAAGACAAGTGACTTGTTATGCAGCAGAAAAGCCAGAGATGTGAAATCACAGTACAGGGAAGAGATTTTATAAAATTTATAATTTTAGGATCTCTTTGAATCACTTTGCACAGTGGCTTAAGGATTGAAAACAGATTGGATGTGTAGAGTGTCTAGTTATGTCTATACATTTATATAATAAAATCTCAAAGGAGCTAAAAACAGGAAACAGCACAGATATTAATTGATAGAAGAATAGAAACAATGTTCTATTCATACAATGTAATACTAATCAACAATGAGAAGAAATGAACTACCAATTCAAGCAATAACATGGATGAATAGCAAACACATTGGGTTGGGTCAAAGAAGCCTTATACAAAAAAGTATATACTATATGGTCTGCTTATATGAAGTTCTAGAACAGACAAACTAATTGATGGGAGAAAAAAAAAATCCATCCTTACCTGTGGGGCTGGGTGTCAGGAATTAACTGGGAAGGGGAATGAGGGAACTTTCTGAGGGTGATAATATTCTATTAATGTCTTGACAGAAGTTTGGGTCACATGGTGTATATGTTTCTCAAAACTCATTAAATGTTATGCTTAAGATTTGTCCATTTCACTATATGTAAATTTTATCTAGAAATGTAAATAAATATGGCTAGTAATAAGAGTGCTGAAATGGTTAGGGCTAAGTACTGGTGTCTGCAAATTACTCTGAAATACATAAAAAAATAAGATGATAAATAATGATAATTATATATATGTAATGAAGCTAATATGGTAAAATATTTTTGAACCTAAATGGCGCTGTATGGGTGTTCACTGTACAATTCTTTTAATTTTTCTGCACATTTAAAAATGTAATAAAATGTTGGGGAAAATTTAAGGAACTTTGAATGCATATTAAGCCCTTGGATGACTGTTTTACCAATATGGGAATAAGTAAAATACAGTGATTAAGAGGCTAGGGTCCTGAATCAGAGCTTTTAGTTTAAATTCTATTAGTTGTATCTTTTATTTGTTTTGAGAACTTTGGCAAATTATAGGTTTTGCTTTCCTACAAAATGTGAATAATATCTACATTGTAGAGTTTTATGAAAATTAAATGGGTTAAATTATATAACATTTATCAAGATGTTTGGTGTAGGATTAGCTTTCAGTAAGAGTTACTTTAAAAAAAAGTCAGAGGAGCATAGAAAAAACACTAGTTAAAACCATAGTTTTGTTGTCCTATAAGATCCAATTTCAGTAAGTAAAAATATCTTCTAGCAAACACTGAACGTATTTTTCTATATTCTCCAAAGTATAGAAATGATGAAGCTTAATTATTTTTAAATATTTAGACATTTTTTTATTCAAATAAAAATATAAGCTCTAGAAAAAATTGTTTTCATTATATGTTTCATAACTTCAGAGTAATTGTAATTCAGCACGTTTGTAGTATACCATTGCCAAGATCTTGAGGTAGGAAGCAGGAAAACAAAATGGACTGAGACAGGATTCCTACTCATGAGGAGTTCACAGTCTACAGCTTAATGTTTCAGTAAGCAAATAGGCTGAAATGTGCTTTAGATGTTTGCCTTAAATTATAAATAAGTAGAATCCAGACAAGGGATAGATAAAAGTCTGCATAATAGCACAAATAGAACTTTCTGTGGTGACAAAAATATTCTGTGTCTGTGCTGTCCAGTGTGATAACCACTAGTCACATGTAGCTATTGAGAACTTGAAATGTGGCTAGTGCAACTGAGAAACTACATTTTTCATTTTATTTAATTCTAATTTAGCCACACGTGGCTAGTGGCTACCATATCGGACAGTACATCTCTAGAGTGTGTTTTTCAAGCTACCTGAGGAAAAAGGCCAGCTATTTTAAATTTCTGATCTCTTATGAACTAACATTTTTATAGAATGTAATACAGATTACAAAAATGAAAAAAAATATGCAAAATACCACCTCAATTTTTAAAAATATTAGATTCATCAAACAAAATTACTTTGTCAAAATTTCTATAAAAATTTCTAACTTCGGTATTTATGTCATCATGTACCAGTGACAGATAGTTTTTAGAATGGCAGTGGTCATAGACTACACTTTCTGCTAGGTAGAGGTCTCTTGCCCAGTGTATCTACAAATAAATACATTTCTAAATCCAACTCTATGTTAAAATTACTGGTACAGGTATTTTTTTTTTACAGGTTTAAGAACAATTCAATAATGCAGTTACTGATGTAACAGTTAATATTCTTTGTAGCAAGTCTTGTCTAGGAGAGCTGTACTTTGACAGTGCAATGCGGACACCCTCAAGGTGGACTGAGAAGGCTTATTTGATCCAGTGACGCCATTTTTGTAGTTGGAGGTACACGCTGAAAAATCCTTTCTTCTGTAAAGTTCAGCCCGATGTTTACAGCAGCCAAATTTGCCTAGCAACAGAAAGAAATCTCTTCGGAATGTCTTAGTGAATATTGCATACAGAAATGGATTGGCACAAGAATTGATGGGATAAAAAAGAACCAGTAAAACTTTAGAGTTGGTTACTGTGATAAGAGGCATTTTGAAGGCAGCTGAGATGGCAAAAAAAGAGATAGGTGCCATGCAGGTGAAATCGGTGAAGATGAGGATTGCCATCTTCTTAGCAATCTTTGTATCTTTGTTGGTAGCCATTAATTCTGGGTTTCGAACTGCAAAATAAATTTTAATGTAGCAAGCACAAATTATGATGAAGGCCACCACATTGAGGATCAGGATGGTTAATATATAGACTTGTGAGAGAGTAGTTTCCACATCCATGGGGAAGCAAATACTGACCTTCATGTAATTGCTGACACCCACAAGGGGCAATATAGCAATTAGAAAAGAAAAGAGCCATCCTCCAAGCATAATCAGAATGGCATGTCTTAATCGCAGCTTTTGGTCCAGGTGAATAGCATAAGTGATGGTGTGCCATCTTTCTAGAGTGATGACGGTGAGAGTGTAGACAGAAAGTTCACTTGCGAATACAGTGAAAAAGCCAGCAGTGCTGCACCCACTCCCTGTCTGCCAATCTATGGCATGGTTATAGTACTGGCCTTTGGTTTGGGAATCAACTGAGGCTATGAGCAGCAGATAGAGCCCCATGCAAAAGTCTGCAAAGGAGAGATTGCACATGAGAAAACGAGGCACTGTAAGTTTGTAATGACTTGTCAGGAGAACAAAAAGGACAGTCATGTTTCCCATGATGGCTAGAATATTAATCAGCCAAATCAGGACTCTAAGGAAGTCGTAGCCCATAATATCTTCACAGGGATTAAAAGCATCTGGTTCAGGAGCACATCGGGGTGTCTTGGGTAAGTGGAAGCTGTAATCATAGTCCCAGCCACTCGGTTCACTCTCGGCAAATATGGCAGGATAACTGTAAGAAGAATTATTGGCTTGATGTAAGAGATTTTCTCTGAGTATTAAAACATTTCAAGAATTATTCATGTTTTTTTTTAAAGCCAAAGAAACAAGGAAACAGCCACAATAACCTCAGCCTTACATTTATTTGTTAAATTATTTGAGAACTCTTATTTGACGTAGGAGTTCCCTAAGAAGGGAATGAAAAGCCATTTAGACTATGTATACATATATATATTACATCGATGCAAAGACTTAATGAAGCTGTTTACAAAGGATGATTTTCTTTGGAAAACAAGTTTAGAAAGACAATCTATGCTTGCTAAATCTAAAGTAATCCTTTCTTGGCATTTTCTTAGCTATTTATCTCTCATTTAGTTGCCAGTCGAACTGCTACCAAGCTGTTTGTGTGTTGCAGAACACAAATAGAACTGTAAGGCTCACGCTGAAAATCATTAGCTACTGGTGGACTTGTTTGTACTTAAGTCCCTGGCTAATCAAATAGTCCAATTGAGAAATAGAAACCAAGGATAGATTATTAGAAATTTAGGAGCAGAGGAAGAATATAGTTGTGGACAATAGGAAGAGGTGGTGAAAACATTACTATGTAGGGGTATGAGTCAAAGGCAGAGGGAGGATTACGAGGTAGTCTGTCCCTAGTGAAAGAACAGCCCTTTCTTTGCCACTCCTTTCCAATCATACTGCTACTTCCTGAGTTTAGTTTTTTGTCCTCTCTTATGGAGCAATTAGTTTTCTTCCTGATATCCTTTCTCCAATTTTAGCCCTCTCCCTAGTCCATTTTGTATGTTCCTTCTAGAATGTCCTTTCCTGAATTCAAAGTTATTAATTTCACTTACCCAAATCAAACTTGCCCCAGGTTCTCATTGGTTGAGATAAAATCCAAATTCATTGTGATGACTTCCAAGGCTCTCCTTGATCTGGGTTCTGCCTATCTCTCCAATCTCATCTCTAAGAAGCACTAGTGCTGCAGAATTCAGAGAATGGGCTAGAGCGAGACTGTCAGGATCCAGTCCTAGCACAGCTCTTACAGGCTGTATAATCCCAGGAGAGTTAATTTATATCCGTGTGCCTCAAGTTCTTTATTTGCCAAGTAGGGATAATAATCATACCTTCCATGTTAAAGTTGTGCTAATACTTGAATGTGTTCGTACATGTAGAATGTTTAGAATAATTCTTGAATCAATAAATATTAGGGATTCTCAACATTATCTCTTGCAGATCCCTCGTACAACCTTCCCTTTGGTCACATAAAGTGATGTGTAGCTCTCTGAATAAGTTCTACTGTTTCACTCCTTTGTCTTTGTACATACTTCTGGCTGAAATTTTCTTCCTTTTCTCATCTCTCTGGTGAATTCCTCCTCATCTGTAAAGATAAGTTCTCCTATAAAGTCTTTCTTGATTATACTCCCCGAGTTTTATTTATCCACCTGGCAAAGCTGCAGTTAGTACAACTGCAATTATCAAAACATTTTGCAATTAAGTGATGATGCATGTCTATCTTCTTTGTCTATTTGCTTCTTGAAAACAGAGGACTAGGTTTTACTTATTTCTGAAATCCCAGTTCCTAGCACAGTTTTGGCTCAGTGTTCATTCAGTAAATGTTTGTAGAGTGAATAATTCTAAACCAGGATGATTCTTGCTATGAAAAGAATTGAGAAGATACAGGGACAATGAGCACACAGCATCATGCATGTAGGCTCAAAAAACATGTTTGTTTTTACCCATCTTCTGCTAATATAATATTAGGAACTGGAGAAATGGGCACAATTTTTCTGTCAAGGACATTACAAATATATATTTGTAATATATTTTTATATACTACATGAGGAACCTTATGGTTCTTACACATTAAAAGGATATTTTTCTCTACTCTCAAACCTAACTTCTCATGTTCTGTATTTTAAGTGTATACCTAGTTCAGTGAGTGGAGGAAATAATAAATTGGAAGAATACAATACTGATGAGAATGTACACAGATTTAAAAAAAGAAAAAATTCTGTGACCTGGGACTCCAAAAATGTGTTAGAGTATTGTGGAGCCCAATTTGGAACTAGAGAAGGGCTGCTGCTATGTACAGAAGATCACATAGGAACCTCCCTTGTTTTATTATTAAATATTGTTATAACCAGCACATTTGTTTGTCCTCTTCTCACAGACACCAATATAATTACCATTTTTAATCTTTAAAGGGAGAAGATGGTTATGAAGAACTATTAAAGAAAATAGATCATTAATTTCTTAGCATTAGAAAGGTTTTTAGGCTAGGCACAATGGCTCACACCTGTAATCCTGGCACTTTGGGAGACCGAGGCGGGTGGATCACCTGAGGTCAGGAGTTTGCGACCAGATGGCCAACATGGCAAAACCCCATCTCTACTAAAAATACAAAAATTAGCCAGGCGTGGTGGCCTGTAATTCCAGCTACTCGGGAGGCTGAGGCAGGAGAATTGCTTGAATCTGGTAGGCGAAGTTTGCAGTGAGCTGAGATTGCACCACTGCACTCCAGCGTGGGTGACAGAACAAGGCTATCTAAAAAGAAAAAAAAAAAAGGTTTTTAAAGACCATCTCATTGAATCCTTTCATCTTATTGATAAGAAGGTTAAAGGAGATTAAAGGAGGTTAGTGACTTTCCCAATGTCTCTCAGGGATAGTGACAGTGGCAGCATGAGGTCTTCATAACCATGGTTCAGAGACCTTTCCCCTGACTTCACCCTCTCTTACTGTTTTTCAAAGTGTGGTCCTTGGACCATCTCCATTGCAATCACCAGGGTATTTGTTAAAATGCAGAATCTTGGCTTTACGCCAAACCCTGAATAAAAAATCTCTAGAGACAGAGCCCAGGAATTTGCATTTTAAGTAAGTTCTCTGGATGATTTATACAAAATAATAACCTTTGTTAAATCAGGTGAAAACTTTCCAACTATTCCTGATTTCCTTTACTCCTTTCCCCTTATCAAAACTACTTCAGCTGTTAGAAACATTATTGTAAAACTTCTAAAATTTCTGCCATGATTTCTGATTAAATTTATGTCAATAAGAGGTCAAGCATGTTTCCTCACTTCCTCTTGCTATCTGGTCCTTTGTCCTTTCTGTTTTTTGCCCTAATGGGCATATGTCTAGCAATTTTTCTCCTTGGTGATTTGTCTTCAGACTAAACGCCCACCTGCTGTTACTACATTTGTGTCCTGGGATTGCTCCTGAGGGCAGCATCATACTTACTGACAAACCCCAGCATGGAGCTGTTGTTAGTCTTGGGGGCTAGGCGGGGAGTATGAATGGACTCACACGGGCTTAGTAATATTGAATCAGAGGAAGGAGAGCTGTAGCTCCGCTGGTCGAGTCACAAGAAAGAAAGGAGAAAAGACGGGAATTTTAGGAGGACAATAGGGCCAGCCATAGAGGTAAGAATGCATTATCTTGGGGAGAATAGATAAGGCTTAGTGGCGAGCTCTAGAATTTCTAAACTCTACGGACTGAGGAATGGCTATCTGGTGGGAAGTAGGAGGTAGATTTATCATAAAATGCTTTCACAAGGAGAATGCTCTTTTTACTTAGATTTTATGTTAATTTCAGTCAGTTTTGGAGATGCTAGAGATTAGGGACTTGTCTTAAAGCAGTGTTAGCATAACAAACTCAAGGTTATATATTCTTATATATAACCTAGTGAGGATTATATTGAGGATGGATTAAAGTTTCCCTCAAACCACTCCTTGGTGCTGTCATTAACTATACCCATAAATGTTTTCCTGTTGATAAGAATCGAGTCATGTGGTTGCAAAAGAGTTGTGTAGAAGGTTTCTGATAGAATACTGAGTAAGAAAAGTGGGAAGGGTGAAGAAAGGCCGCTGGAGGATACATGGTGTCAGACCTAATGCGAGAAAAGGAAAAGAAGGAGACAATAATACTTATTTAACCTTGGTGTTGTCGCATTGCTTAGAGGAGAAAGGTCTCAAAAAGGATAAATTTTGCCAGTAATACTCAGTGTTACTGAAAGATTACTGCCAAGGATTCATATCTTTGGAATGGAACCCCAAAGTCCAGGGTCATTCCACCACACCACCCTGAAGCATCTGTATTACTTGGAGATTGATAGGAAAAGAAGAGAAAATTTCAGAAAGAGATTGGCAAAATGTCTTGAAGGAGCACTCAAGGGGATATAATAAAACTTCTAAATCTTAGTAAATGCGGCATAGGGACACTGGGATTATCTTATTTTTAAAATATATTTTATTGCATTTTAGGTTTTGGGGTACATGTGAAGAACATGCAAGATTGTTGCATAGGTACATACATGGCAGTGTGGTTTGCTGCCTTCCTCCCCTTCACCTATATCTGGCATTTCTCCCTATGTTATCCCTCCCCAACTCCCCACCCCCCACTGTCCCTCCTCTAGTTCCCTCCCACAGACCCCAGTGTGTGATGCTCCCCTCCCTGTGTCCATGTGTTCTCATTGCTCAACACCCACCTATGAGTGAGAACATGCAGTGTTTGATTTTCTGTTCTTGTGTCAGTTTGCTGAGAATGATGGTTTCCAGGTTCATCCATGTCCCTAAAGGACACAAATTCATCGTTACTGATGGCTGCATAGTATACCATGGTGTATATGTACCACATTTTCCCTGTCCAGTCTATCATTGATGGGCATTTGGGTTGGTTCCAAGACTTTGCTATCGTAAACACTGCTGCAATGAACATTTGTGTGCATGTGTCCTTATAATAGAATGATTTATAATCCTTTGGATTATAAATGGGATTTTAAATGGGATTTAAATGGGATTTATAATCCTTTGGATTATAAATGGGATTTAAATCCCAGTAATGGGATTGCTGGGTCAAATCGAATTTCTATTTCTAGGTCCTTAAGGAATTGCCACACTATCTTCCACAATGGTTGACCTAATTTACGCTCCCACCAACAGTGTAAAAGTATTCCTATTTCTCCACATGCTCTCCAGCATCTGTTGTCTCCAGATTTTTTAATGATCGCCATTCTAA